CGCCGGCCACCCAGCCCCGGAGCCCGGGCGGAGGGAAGCCGCTCAGGGTTATTGCCAAACTTCCGGCGTGCCGGGGGCGTGCTCGCCCCTCCGCCCCGAAGTTGACTTCACCGCGGCCTGGCGCACAGCTCGGGGTGAAGGCGGGGGCCGAGTTCTGCCCCGTGGAACCCGCGGCTCTGGTGCCAAAGCCCGGGGTGGGGGGGCAGGTGAGCCGCTTCCCGGGATCGCCCGGTGGAGCGAACCGGGCAGGCTTGGGCTCAGTGACCGCGGCGGCTGCGCCGGACGGACGGACGGACGCACCCACGCTCACCTCGTCCCTCGTCCCCTGGGCCTGCGATCCCCACCCCATTCCCCAGTCCCCGCGCTTGAGGCGTGGCGGTGGAGTCAGACTCTGACCTGGCGTTCCGGTGAGGTCGCCGCACCTGACTTGCCTGGAGTTAGAGTTGCTGGCTGCCCTTAGCTCGTCCTGAGCGGCCGGGGGTGTCGATCCGAGGTGGAGCGTGTGTTTAATCCCTCGGAATCCCTCCTCTCCCCCCAAAAAGACACCCCATCCTATCCTACGGGATACCGGGGAGAGGACGAGGAAGTAAGAAGCTAGACTCTTCAGCAGCCAAAACCAAAGTCAGGAAATGTGATTCTTATAGTTCCCGCCGCGACTTGTCGGGTTTTGCCTCTAATTCTAACTAGTTAATTTGGTTTCCCAGGCTGAAACGAAAGGCAGCCTTAAAAGGCTGACCAGAGATCCAGATAATAGCGGATGAACGCTAACGACCTTGTGAATTAAAAAGAAACTCTGTAATGAACTATGTCATTTGTGGTCAGGGACGGGAGGGGGAAAACTGGGGGAAAACGAAGGGGTGACATTGTTCCAAAAAGAAGTTTGCTCATGACCTAACTTACGAAACGGTAACCCCTCCGTACAACACCTAATAATAACAAAATATTTTTTAAAAAATCCCTCTGAGCCAGGCTGTAATCTTAGCTACTTAGGAGGCTGAGATCTTAGGATCTCAATTCAAAGACGTGGGGAACTGGAACTTGTGGGAGACTCCTATCTCCCAAGTAACTACTAAAAATAGCCGGAAGTGGAGGTGTGGTTCTAGTGGGAGTGTGCTAGCCTTGAGCACCGGAGCACCGGGCTAGCGCTGAGCCCAAGCTCTGGACAGACACTCACCGATTCTGGTGGGGTGCCCATGGTGAGTGCATATAACCCTACCTACTGAGGGGCCTGAGTCAGTTCTGAGGATTGCAGTTCCAAGCCAGCCCAAGCAGGAAAGTCTGTGAGAGTCATCTCCAGTAAACCATTAAAAAGCCAGAGTAGGGGGTGAGGGAGGGGGGTGGGAAGGTGGCTCAGCCTCGCATGCATGAGGCCTGAGTTCGATTCCTCAGCACCACATAAACAGAAGAAGCCGGAAGTGGCGCTGTGGCTCAAGTGGTAAAGCGCTCACCTTGAGCTGAAGAGCACGGGGACAGCGCCTAGGCCCAAAGTTCGGGCCCCACAACTAACCAAAAAAAAAAAAAAAGCCAGAGTTTGGGGCTATGGCTCAAATTGTAGAATGCCAGCCTTGAGTAAAAGAAGATCAGGGACAGCACCCAGGCCCTGAGTTCAGACTGGCACTTAAAAAAAAGCCTCTGTACATACTAGGAAAGGGAGTATGGGTTGTGGTAGAGTGAAGGCATGCCTGACATGCTGGAGGCCCTGGACTCAGTCGGGGAGAAAAGGACTACATAGGGAACTGTATTCCATGACTAAATTGTAATAATTGATCATCATAATGAGTACTGGGACCAAGAGCTGGTGTTCAAAATAATAGACCTAAAATACCAGGCAAAGGTGAAATTGCAGTATCAGTTTAAGAGTTGCAGGGCTTTGCAGAGGGGAGGGAGCGTGTTGTTTTATTTTGTGCCAGGACTGTGGCTTGAACTCAGGGTCCAGGTGCTGTCCATTAGCTTTTTTGCTCAAGCTGATGTTCTACCACTTGAGCCACAGCTCCACTTTCTGCTTTTTAGTGGTTAAATGGAGACCTGTACACTAATATAGTCGCCACTTGTAGCTATTTAACTTTGTCACAATTTAATGTTTGGTGCCACCACATTTCCCGTGTCTCAGTAGCTAGAGGAGGATAGAGACTACTGGATTCAGTAGCATACGTGTAGAATATTGATGTCACCTGCACATTCTGGTGTACAGTGTAGCTGTAGAGTACTTTGAGTATGTGGTAGGTACTAGTTTTTTGATAATTGCCTACTTAGTATTGTCTTTCAGAATCTGATTTCTGACATATCTTGGCAGCACTGGTTCTTGAAACTCCTGAATCCATCCGTGATTTTCATCTCCAAAGCTAGAGTCACACATCAGGTTTTGTTAGTCCCTCTCTGGGTAACTGGGATAGTCTCCTAACTCATCCATGTTCCTCTCTCCACACTGGGACCAAGTCCCCCAAGGAAACTTCCTATTAGTATCTCATTAGCTCCAGACCTTTTTAAAGGGGCATGTGAGGCCCTTGTTGGTTTCACCTCCGCTTGGTTCTCAGACTTCTCTTACATTCTCCTTCAATTCTATGATTTCGAGCCACACCTGTAGGTCTTCTGCATCTGCTGTTTAGCTTGTCTGTTCCTCCTCCAATGTCAAGTTCACTTTCCTGGTTAAATCTTTTCCTTGGGAGCCAAGTTAGGTTAGGTACAGCCTGCTTCATGCTGAAAATTAGCATGTGAAACACAAGCCTGTTTCTTGGGTTCTTTTGCTAGATTTTGACTGCAAACTCAGGGACTATGTCTGCATTGTTCACTACTGTATACTCATTGTCCAGAGTACTCCTGGCACATTGAAAATGCTTAGTAGACATTTATTGAACAGCAACAGTGGAAAGACTGATGAGTGGTGTAAATTGGGTGTCTGGTCACAAACCTCAGTTTAGAGCAGAGCAGTTCTGCTGGGCCTGTGCTGGTCCAGAGAATATGAGATATGAGTTACTTTCACATGTAAAGCCGAATTCTTGCTCATATCCAAGAAAGTTTGAAATTGTGTAGGTGGCCAGTCAACTATATGAATCATATTTCATCTTTGTAAGCAGCTTGTTTTGAGTT